AAAAGCTTGTAAGAGCTTCAAAGATGGAGGGCGGTTCCTTTTCAAAATACGGCTCTCGCCTGAGCCGCGCACATGCGTCAGAAAAGGTTACTTCTTACAATTTCGCAGATCCTTCTGGCTGGCGACCCAGACATGGTGCTCTGGCCCACTGCAGGACTGTCAGGGCGCAACAGGATCGTCAAGACGCTGAAGTAACGTTCCTTCGCAGCGTTGAAAGCCCAAGAATGGTGTTATGGGAATGGTGCTCTGATACGGTTCGAAACTTTCAGGCGGTTGTCTTCCAACGGGGCACTCCCCGTAGTGACGCTGAACCTTTGTAGGGGCCTATGAGGAAGGAACTCGGAGGGAGGGTTTATTTGATGAGTCCTGGGTTTGCACTGGTGCTCCTCCCTCCTCCTCCCTCCTCCTCCTCCTCCTCTTCCTCCTCCTCTTCCTCCTCCTCCTCCTCCTCTTCCTCCTCCTCTTCCTCCTCTTCCTCTTCCTCCTCCTCCTCCTCCTCCTCCTCCTCCTCCTCCTCCTCCTACTCCGCCTCCTCCTCCTCCTCCTCCTCCGCCTCCTTCCGCCTCCTCCTCCTCCTCCGCCTCCTCCTCCTCCTCCTCCTCCTCCCTGCTCCCCTCAACCTCGCGCCGCGCCCCCGCCGTCCCCTCCCACCTCCCGTGCCGTACTCCGCCGTCCGCCGGCGACTCCGCCTCGGCCTGCCCCTCCCCCCCGCGCGCCCCGCTGCCCTGCCCTGACGGCCTGCTGCCCCTCGCGCCCCTCGGCTCTGCCACTGTAAAGGGGCCCAAGGACACACAAATAAATACACACAAATAAAAATATGCCCCATATTTTCCTATATTTTCTGGGTTTCTGTCTTCCCCCCCACTTTTTATATTTTTCCATATTTTCTGGGGGATCGACGATGAATTGTGTCTGTGTGTTTTTCCCTCCTGAACACTGCTCGCTGCGCTCGATGGGCGTCGGCGCGGCGCGCCGGACCAGCTGCCCGCCCACTTGGTGGGCCGGCGGTCGCACAACGTCCGCGCCCGCACGAGTCGTCAGTGCAGGTTGGCACCTGCTCTTTGCACCCGCAGGCTGGGCGTGCGCCGATCTGTTTCGACGGCGCAGCCTTCCCCTGTTGGCGCAGCTGCTGCCCCTTCAAACGGTCGTGCTTGGACGAAGGGGGCCAACACCTACTACATTCCTGAAAGCCCTTGCGTGCTATGACCTGCAGATGTGTAATTGTCGTAACTCGCGATATTTAGGATGAGGTGGCGAGGACGATGACGATGATAACCATATTATGCGCATCAGGAGGAGGAGGAGCAGCAGTAGGAGGAAGAGCAGCAGGAATAGCAGCGAGGCGAGCAAGACGCCCTCCTCCTCCCTCCTCCTTTCCCAAGACGAGGGCAGGATGCGCAGATAACCGGGCCCTTGGGAGGGTCGGCAAGCCCACCAGGACATCCAACGTCAAGATTTGTTTCGCAACGTGGCAACGTGGCTCCCCAGAGGTCTGGTGCTCTCCCCAAGTTCATTCTGCATAAGCATCTTTTTTTGCCGTCCTAGTGCCCGGTGAGGGCCCACGGAGACCACAACGTGCCGAACACCTCCCGTCGTGATGTTTTCGCGACGCAAAGATGTCAGGGCAGAGAGGAAGGAGAGGGGAGGAGGACTCGTCGGACGACGGAGCTGCCTGGACTGTGTTGGGCGCCCCTGGGGGCCTCCTCCAATGACTCTCTGGAGAGCCAGCGCCATTGCCGTCCTTGGACCTTCACGCGGAGCATTCAGAGGAGAGCACGCTCTGTGAGTGACTCTCTCTCGCTCTCTCTCTCTCTCTCTCTCTCTCTCTCTTTCTCTACAACGACGATGACGGCGACGACGTTGACGACGACCACGGCAAGGACGACGACGAAGACGACGACGAGGATCGGGCAGGGCGAAAGGGGGGGATAGCAAAGGGGGGGTTTGAGAATCAGCTCACGTAGCTGATTTTCCCGGCGCCGGAGGCGGCTACGTATCGAGGAATGGGCCCCTCGGTGAGGCCGAAACCAGCTGCATGCAGCGAATTTCGTAACCCCCCCTTTCCCAATCCCCCCCATTCGTCCGGCCCGAGAGGACGACGGCAACGTATCCGTCTGTCTTTGCGTCCCTCTAGCGACCCCCCCCGTGGGAGGTGTGTGGGGGGGGAGGAACGAACATCGGCGGCGCGCCGAGGGGGGGAGTGAGAAGGAGCAGGCCTTTTCAAAAGGCGTCGGGGCTTCGGAAGGGGGCTGAGCCAACTTCCCTGGAGGCCTGGGACCTTCTGAGCCTTCCGAGAGCCCCGACATCCGCAGATCGAACCTCTTCCCTTCGCGGCCCCGGCAATCCCGACCGCTTCTCCGGGGAACCGCTTGTCCAGAGGGCAGCATAAACCGCGCTCATCATAAGCACCCCGACGAGCACAGCCTTTCGTGAACGCGCCTAGGGAAGGGACCGAAGGGGGCAAAGCTGTTCAGTAGACACCCAGTGCTGTTTGGTAAACGCCGACTGTTCGAGGAAGCAGAAACGGCATAGGCATAAACTTTTGGCGCTCCACGCGGTTATGGCGTTTTCTTCTCCGCATTGTGGGGTTCGGGGTACTCTTTCATCCCGTGATTGCCGTCCCAAATCTTGTGGATCTTCTGACCAGGGTCAATCCAGACCCAGGTCAGTCAGGCCTTGCAGAATCCTGCAAGATCCTGCAAGATCATGCACCCAAGCCCGGGTCAATACGAAGGATCCTGCAAGATCCTGCGCCCCAACCCAGGTCAATGCGACCCTGGCCCTGCAGGATCCTGCGAGATCGGGCGCTCTGGCTGACCCCCGCTTGCACCGAGACCTGGGTCATTGCGACCCTGGCCCTGCAGGATCCTGCAAGATCGGGCGCTCTTGCTGACCTCCGCTTACAGCATGGACCCCCGTCTCAATCGGGGGCGCGCAAGCATGGATTAGCGATTAATGGATTTGGTGCGCGGTCGCCAAATCCATGGATCGGGGGAGGTGCCCTCCCCATGCGCCGCCCCGCTCGGCGGCGGCAATCCGCGATTCCCCATGGAAACGGGACCCGTCGCTAATCCACGCCCCCTTGATCCATGCTTGCGATCGCCTGAGCGGCCAAGAGAGGGGCGTCCAAGACGGGCGGGGGGTGCACATCAGGGCCGGCAGCATGTGCGCGGCCCAGGGGGGGGGCCAGGGACGTATGCCATGAAATAAAAGGAGGCGCCATGAAATTCCCCCCCCCTAGTCATGATTAGGGGGCCACATGCGAACCCTACCCCTACCCCCCACGATTCCTGAGGGGGAGGGTGGGGTTCACTTCGCTCGGGAGCTCCCGAGCGAAGTGAACCCCACCCGCCCCCTAGAAATCGTGGGGGGTAGGGGTAGGCTTCGCATGTGCCCCCTAGTCGTGATGTCTGCACCCCCCCTGGTCATCTCCCCCCCCCCTGTGCCGCCCCCGAGACTCCCGAGGGGATCCAGGCTCTCGATCGCCCCCCCGGGGGCTCGGAGGTCGGCTCTCGATCGCCCCCCGGGCGGCATGTGCGCGGCCCAGGGGGGGGTAGGGACGTGTGCCATGAAATAGTAAGCAGAGGCGCCATGAAATCCCCCCCCCCCGTTGATGAAAAATCATCTCCCCCCCCCCTGTGTCATCTCCCCCCCCCCTGTGCCGCCCCCGAGACTCCCGAGGGGATCCAGGCTCTCGATCGCCCCCCCGGGGGCTCGGAGGTCGGCGCCGCGGGGGCAGACGCGCCGAGGCGCCGAGCGGCCGGAGGGCCCCCCCGCGGGAGAGCGGGAAGGCCCGCGGGCTCAAGGCCGCATCGCCGCATCCCCGACCTCACCGTCCAGCCAGCTTGTCCTCCCCCTCCTCCCCTCTCGACCTCATCCTTCCCCTTCCATTCCTCCTCGTCGCCCCCCTCCCCCTCATCTACAATTGCTCAGAACTAATACTACTCTCCTCTCTCCCCTGAGTCTGTGGCGGAATATGTCTCGGAGCGTTCGCCGCCCGCCGCATCGCTCGGACGTCCCTGCCCCATGCCTTTTTCGACGTCGTGCATCTACTCCGGAAGAGGAGGAATATGATGGAATAGTACTATTAATACTACTACGAATTAGAATAAGAAGAATCATAAGGATACTAATAATCATCATAAAACAACTCAGAAGAATGCGAAGAAGAAACACACCACATACGCGACTTTTTTCGCTCCGCGCGGATTTCGACGCTCCGCGCGGATTTCTTACGCGATGCATATCAACTTTCGACGCTCCGCGCGGATTTCTTGGATCTGCACTGGGTCTCCCTCCCTGGCGCGCGGAGCGCGCCAGGGGCAGCGCCGGAGGCGCCGCCCGGGGGGGTCCAGCGTGGATCCAAGGACACTTTTGGCAAGATGATCCAGGACGTTCCTCGAGGGTCTTCGCCGAGGTGGATCGCCAAAGGTCGAAGATGATTCTAGATATCCAGTATGATCCAAGATGCTTCTCGAGGCCTGCCCGCTCCACGTTCCCCCCTGTCCAAGGCCACGCTAACGGCGATGTTGGTCAACGGCGATGTTGGGAGTCTAGCTTTTGCGACGCCGAACTCGCGTAGAACATGTGGGGGCCAGAACCCGGATAGCAGGGCGCCCGAAGAGCGTGGAAAGGCCTGTCGAAGAACTCTGGAGGTACCTGGAGAGAACTTCCGAAAGACCTTCTGGAGAGCTTCCGGGCACGCGTATTGGGGAAACGCTTAAAAAGGTTTGAACACCGATCTGCTTCCCTGCTGCTATCAGTGTGAGCGCAACCCCTTTTGCACCAGCCAGCGCGCCAGCACAGGCTCCACGATCTCGGGCGCGGGCCGCCCGAGAAGCAAAGAAACCTGGGGCCCCAGGCTTGGGCCCACAGTGGTTGCGGGAGCACGGGAGAGGGGCAGAGGGAGAGCAAAAGAGGAAAGGGATAGGCGGGTTGAGGCGAGCCTGGAAATCTTCACACGCCCTCAAAAGGAGACGCCGAAAACCGCCTGGCACCTCAAACTGCGATGTCCCGCATCTCATTAGCTCTCACGAGTTTGTCCTGCTGCCTCTTCTCCGTCTTCCTCGAGTCGATGGCGGTCTTGCGACTAGCGCGTTGCATACTCTTCTTCATCTTGATCGCCGCTGCCGCCGGGTCCTGCACCAGACTCCACTTGGCCTCCCGCAGTACCTTGTAGAGGTAGACCTTGTCTACTCCCAGCTTCGTCAACACATCTGCTATGTTCTGCGAGCCATCAATCCACCTGAGGTGGGTGTTCTCGCAGCGTAGTACCTCTCTGAGCAAGGCACCCTCGATGGCCATCCTCTTGTCCTTGCTCTTGGCCGAGCCCTCCTTCGTGAGGTGGTCGTAGACGGACTTGGCGTCCGTTGCCCAAAAGCGAGGAAGCCGCTGCACCTCCCCCTGCCAGTTGAGCAAGTCCACTGAGACATTCATAGCCTCTCTGAACAGCACTGCCGCCCAGTCGACGGCCTCCACCGCATCGGCCAGGTGACTGGCCTCTGCCGCCAAGGTTGAGCGGCACACACGCTGTGTCATGCCACTCTTCCAGTCCAGCACTGCCACTGGTGCTTGGTGTCCGGCCAAGATGCCGTCGGTCGTGAGGAGCACCACGTGGCCTCCACAGCTCTTGTAGCGCTCGATGTCGTCGTGCTCCGGGCCGTTCGCGTGGCCCGCGTCCACGGCCGCGCCGATCACGGCGCTGGACAGCCTCAGGTTGGCCGGGTAGACCAGCGCGACCTCGGCACCCTTCTTGGCCTCAGACACCGCCAGGTTCGCCTTCACCAGGTCTGCCACGCACGGGGCCGCTCGGGCCCTCTGCAGCTCGCCTGAGAGGAAGGCCAGGTCGAGTCGGCACTGTCGACCTAGCCAGCCGATCTCACCAGATACCCTCAGCAGCTCCTTCGCCTCGTTCTCGTTCAGGTCCTCCTGCAACTGCTTCCTTCGTCCTGCTGGGATCTTGATCGGCTTGATGGAAGTTGCGTAGTTCACCATCTTGACCAGAAAACCTCTCGGATCACTTGAAATCTCACGGCCACGGAAGGTGAAGGGCAGCTCGCTCCACTTCCACTGGAACGTACCCAGGACCTTCGGCAAGAGGTCCGACAGCTGCATGTCCTTCATCCTCGCCACCAGCACGTCGTCGACGTGCGAGACCGCGATGCCCTTCAGCTGCCCGTCCATGCGCCTGTAGAAGAGCGCCGGCTCCAGGCGCGACTGAAGCCAGCCGTCGGACAGCAAGGCGTCACGCAGCGCTAGCCAGAAGAGCCTTGCTGCCTCAGCAAAGCCGTAGATGGCCTTGCGGGCCCTCAGCAACTGGCCCGCGGCAAGGCCAGGCAGACCTCCTCGAGGCTGCTCCAGGTAGACCTCGCGCTGCAGGTTCTGCCCGTTGAAGTAGGCGTTCTTGACGTCGCCCAGGGAGAGGGTCATGCCCATGGCCGCCGCCAGCGTCAGGAGCAGCGCCTCCGCCAGCCGTGAGGCAGCGGGAGCGTCCCGCCTGAACATACCCAGCAGGCGGTCGCGAAAGCCCACCACGACCAGGCGGCTCTTCGCGAGCAGCGGCAGAGGGGCTCCGGCCTCATCATACTTCCCGTCGTTCTTGTCGGTATCCACCCAGCGCATCGGGATGATGATGTTGGCCTTATCCGCGCGGATCGAGTCACTCTCATCCGGCGGGATCGGCTCAGCTGCATCAAAGTCCTGCCAGGATCGCCACTCTGCATCACGGCTGCCACCTCGATCCATGAACATCCGGCGTTGCTCCTCAGGCAAGCTGCCGAGCTTGATCTCCTTCCTACCAGGCTTCTTCGTCAGAAAAGCGTGCTCGAAATCATTCCGCATCAGCCCGAAGATGAACTCCTCCTTGCCGATGCCCTCCTGGACAAAGAAGGCCTCATCCTGCTGGTAAGTCTCGAAGCCGGCCTCCATGAACTCCTCCAGGTCGTTGTCCAGCACGAACTTCGCCGAGTCGGCAGGCGCCGGGAGGCTGGATCCTGCAGTCCCCTGTCGGATCGAGACAGGGACGTCGTCCAGCAGGCGCCGTCGCTTGGCCTCCCGCTCGCGGCGCTCCTCAGTCTCCTCTACCTCCAGGAGATTCCCAGGACGCCGATGCCGAGAGGCCTCCGGCTCGGGCTCCGTCTGCACCCCGTGAGAGTCAGGGTGCCAGTCATCGTCGCCGTCATCTCTCATGATGTCCTGCATCGCTGCGTCGAACTCCATCGCGTCGAAGTCCAGGTCGGGCGGCACGGGCACGTCCTCAGCCCCCACCGCCGGGGCTGGCGCCGCGGGCGGCTCGGGCGCGGCGGGGGCCGCGCGAGGAGCCTCCGCCGCAGGCGGGGCCTGAGGCGCCTCCGGCTCAGGCGGAGCCGGGGCGGGCTGCGGCTCCTCCGGCGCCCCTGCCTGCGGCCCGACGTCCATGCCGCTCTCGTCGCCCTGCTCAGCGGGCTCCTGCCCCGCTGCGGCGGGGGGCCTGGGCCGACCTCGCAAGTCCACGAAGCCGCTGCCGCCACTGACGGGCGCGTCGTGCACCAACTCCTGCTCCTGTGCAATCGATCTCCAGGCGTGGATCTCGTGGCCGGTCGCTGCAGCCAGGTGCTCCGGGCTCGCGAGCACGGTAAGGCCACGGAAAGCGAGCCACACTCCATGCCGTCCCTCATGTCCGATCACGCGCGCCAGCCCTCGCCAGTTGTCTGGATGCTCGGGTCGATGCTTGACTGGCTGCGCTTGGTCGTAGAAAAGTACCCACTGGCCAACAACGAACGGCCCTCTCGTAGGTCGTATCTGTCGAAGCTCTGCTCGTCGAAGTCGGTCCTCCGTGTCGGTCTGGATGAAAGCCATCCTGCACTGAGTCCTGATCTCCACCTTGCGGGCAAAGCGTGAGCCCGGCGTAGCAGCTGCCACCTGCTCGCCCACACGCTCCACCTCGGCGTCATCTGCGAGGCTCGCCGGGAGTCGGACATCCCGGCCAAGGACCCAGAGGTAGGGGCTGAAACCAGCCCGCCGGGCCAGAGTGTTCTTGGCCCTGTTGCACTCCGTCACTGCCGTCCTCATCTCCTCAAGGCCCGCCACCTGCTTGTCGTGCACCACTCTCGTGAGCATCGAGTTCCAGATGCCGTCGTGGCGCTCCATCTTGCCGATGTGCCACGGCGAGGCCAGCGCGGCCGAGTCCAGGCGCACGCCCTCCTGCTCCAGGTAGTCCGCGAACTCGCCCAGGAAGGACCGCGCGCGGTCCACCATGATCGCCTCCTCCGGCTGGCCAGCCCAGGAGACCCAGCAGAGCTCGTAGAACTTCCTGACCTCCGAGGCCTTGGGGTTCTTGTGAGTGTCCTCCAGCAGGCAAACCACGTGAAAGTTTGTCCCCATACACATGATGCCAAGGAACTCCCAGTTGTTGCCGGCGCTGTCGACATTCTCGAAGCAGTCCATCGCGAGCAGCACGTTAAACTCGTCGACCCTCGGAAGCTGACTCGGACGTGGGATGCTGGGTCGCTGCACTCGCCGGCAGCTCTCGCAAACAAACAACCTTGCTGCCCTCAGCGCCACCGCCGTCGCCTTGCCCAGGCGCAGCGCCCTGAGCAGCGCCGGCCGTGAGGGGTGCCCGAGGTTCACGTGCACCCGCTCGATCGCCCTCTTGACGGCCCTCGGCAACAGCTCCCAACGTCGCTTCCTCTCCCGTGAGGCGTCCCGCTGCTGTGCTGCAGCCGGCCCCTCGGGCAGGTCGCCCCGCTCGTAGCCCGCGAAGTAGAAGACCACCACGTCGTTCTCGAGTAAGTGTCGTGGCAGCCAGCGCCGTCTTGCTTGCAGTGACTGTTGCGACCAGTCCTCGAAGTCCAGCCTGAAGAGCTGGTCGCCCTTGAGTGTCGTGACCATCCTGAGCGGGGCGTCCGCGGCGTGCAGCTGTGGCTGCGCCGTCTGGAGCCGCTGACCCCCGCGTCTAGCCTTCACCATCTTCAGCGGCTCGCTGATGACTCCTCCCAGCTCCTCCAGGAAGAGGTCCGAGCCCCAGATGATCGTCTCGATATCCTCGCCCATCTTCTCCAGTAGTCGTCCATGCCAACTCCGGAACGTGTCCAGCTCGGCGCGCAGCTCTACCGTCAGCAGCTCGAACTCGCCGTACTGTGTACGTCGTCCCCGGCGGAAGCCCAGCGGACGTCCGCCAGGAGGCACTCCGCGCTCGCGTCGAGCAGGCGCTCGGCCGCGCCTGGGCCTCGCGGGCACCTCGGCCGGTGCCTCGGGGGCCTCCGCTGCCGCCTCGGCGGGCGGCGCGTCCTCTCCGAGAGGCGGGCCCTCCTGGTGTGCCTCCTCCGGCACGGGCTCTCCTCGCGGCGGGGTCCGCGATCGCGGACGCTCGTGCGGGAAAGCATCCTCCACAGGGAAGGCCGCATCCATGACCAGCGAGCTGCGGTAGTCGATCTGCATCTGCTGGAGCACTCCGCGACAGAAGGCCTTCGCGAGGCCCACGGGGTAGGCCGCCGCCTGCTGCGCCCGATAGCCGCCCGAGTTCCTCCCGAGCAGCTGCTGGTGAGCGCCGGGCGGACAGGCACAGCGCCTGCTCAGCTGGTTCGCCACCGCTGCGCTGTTCGTGAGCCACCCTGTCGGCTTCTTGATCAGCTTGCCCGTGTCCCTGTCGCAGGCTCCGTAGGCACATTGATCTCCACGCACAAAGACAACACCTTCCAAATCCCATAAACGTATCAGGATGCCGTCATACTCCCAAGAAAGTGCTGTCAAAGGCTGCTCTATCAAGAAATACCGTCCTCTCGCATGCACACATCGAGATACCCGTCGAACGAGCAAAAGATAACGACGAGCACTCCTGCGGACTTCATCCCAATCTACACCCTTGTTCATGTTGGTCATCAAGGACCACGGATGACAGGGAAAAGCCAACACTGTGATGTAAGGCCAGTGCAGGTCGAGGATTCGGTAGAGTAAGGCCCGCCCAGGGCCTTTGAGCAAATCGCAGTCGGGAGAGTGGTCCACATCCAACGGCTGAGACTGCATCCATCCATACTCCTTCGCACCGTAGCGCGTCAGGATGTGCTCTCCGCCGAACGGCTCGAACACCACCGTGGTCTGGAAGTCGGCAGTCACGAAACGCTCCGCCTCGAACCTTGGTCGAAGTAGCTCTTCCCGTAGTCGACGATCCTCTCCACGAAGCCCACGCCAGGCGGACTCGAGCTTCTTCCGAGTCGTCTTGGAGAGGATCCCTGTCGCGTCGGTGGCCAGCACACCGCGATCCTTCGACAGGAAGGCGTGGCCAACCTCCTCCTCGACTCGGATCTCCTCGCCGTCGGACTCCTCGAAGGCCGACTCCTTCTGTGACTGCGCGTAGAAGAACTCCGAGTCCCGATTCCTCGAGATCGCCGTCGCTGATCTCGAACTCGGAGCTACTGCCGATCGGTGACCATCATCGTCTCCCCAATCATCAAGTCGCACTGCCAAGTGACCGCCCACCTTGATCAGCTGCACGTCCACGGCGAGCGTCTGCAGCTCCATCCGCATCTCCCTCAGGTGAAGCACGGCACCCAGCGCCTCCTGCGACGCCAGGCTGACCAGGAGCGGGGTGTCGCAGTCGTCCATCTCCGTGCTGAAGATCACCCCGCGGCGGCCGCCCAAGGCGACCGGGATCTCGACCACGCGCCCCTCCTGCTTCTTGCCGAAGGCCGAAGAGAAGCTCCTCACGCGGTCCGTCATCTTGATCTCGAGGCCACGGGGGTGCAGGCACCTCCTCTCGAACAGCTCCCGCCAGTGCTTGCCGTGCATGCATCTTGTGCAACCGGTGTCGATGAGCGCCACTGGTACGTCAGACGTGTCACTGTCTTCACTCACCATAAGCACTATCTCCAAAACTCCTTCCCCAGGTACTGGGCGCTCGTGGCGCCCGTGAGGGGCCTCTCTGGGCCCCGGTGTGGAGTGTGCTCAGGCCGAAGACGGCGGTGGCCGCGCCTCGCGCAGCCTCTGCTCGCCCTCGTTGTAGTTCAGCGTGCCCTTGCAGCTCGGGAACTGGCTGCATCCGAAGAACCAGCCGCCCGTCCGATGGTTCTGGCGAGCCACCAGAGCCTTGGAGCACTTCGGGCATGGCAACACCTCGTCGTCCTTCATCGTCGGGAGAGTCGTGCTGAGGCCGTCGCTGACCACGCTCGCACTGTCGCCGATGTCGCTGCCCACGAGCTTGAAGGAGCCGATGTCGGAGCCGCGGTCCGAGCCGACGAAGAAGGCCGAGTCGTACTCGACGTCGTCCAGCACGAAGAGCGTCGCATCTCTCCGCTTCTTGGCACTAGTACTGCTCGTCGGGCGTGGGCTGCTGCCCGAGGCCGCCGGGCTGCTCCAGGCTGGGCGACCCAACGCCGCTGCTCGGCCACGCGGGTCAGCTCGACTCTTAGGCTTCGCCGACGGCTTCGGCCTCTTCGGTCCCATGGGGCACTCTGGGTCCCCGGCCCAGTTGCCGATCTTGCCGCACGCCCCGCAGTGCGTGCGCTGCTTGACCTTCGCGATCTCCGCCTTGCGCTCCTCGAACGTCAGCGCGCCCTCTGCCTTGAAGAAGCCGCGCTTCCTCTGGAGGTCCCGAACCTTGGCCCGGGCCGTGTCGTATGCGGCGTACGCGTTGTTGATGGCCTCGTCCTGACTCGCCCCAGCGTCACTGGCGATGTCATCCTCGGCCTCGCCATCCTCGTAGGCCTCGTAGACCTCGTCATCGTAGTCCTCGTCCTGCTCGTCCTCCTCGTCGTCCAGGTCGTCCGCCTCGGTGTAGTACACCCTCGTCTGCTTCTTGGACTTGTCCTTGCCGCCTTTGCCTCCACCCTTCGAGCGTCCGTGAGGATGAGGCTGTGGCAGCCGGGAGGTCTTCTCCTGCAGGTGGAGGTCGTGGTAGTTCGTCTTCAGTGTGTTCTCGAAAGCCTTTGTCTCATACTTGTTGTCCGCCACCATCGTGACCAGCCTCTTCTGGTCGTCCGTCAGCATCGCCCCCTCGAGGAGGAAGTAGGCGTAGAGGTCGTCGCTGAGCTTCGTCCCGGTGTCCAGCTCCGTCAGCTCCTTGTGCTTGTTGTGGAACGTCCTCAGGTACTCGACGATCTCCTGGCCACGCCGGCGGCGGGACCTCTTGAAGAAGTCGTCGAACTTTTGCTGCTTGCGCACCACTGCTACCTTGTCTAAGCCATCGAGAGCCTCGATGATCTTCTGGTGCGAGCCTTCCTGGGTGAGAGACGCCATGTCGTCCAGCAGGGGCTCCACCGCCTTCCACGCGCGGCCGGTGAGGCCTCGCGTCAAGCGCAAGCCCAAGTTCGCCCTCTTCTCCTTGCCAGCATCTGTCGAGCTGGACTGGGTGCTGTACTCAATCATCACCCTCATGCGGTATTCTCGTAGAAGAGCTATGTTCTCGCCGTCCCAATGCGGGATGCCCTCTTTGTCGACAAAGAGCTCCTCCGCGGACTCGTCTGTCGAGCGGGCCATGCTTGCCGCCGTAGATCGAAACCTGCTCCGCGACCAGTTTGAACACCGATCTGCTTCCCTGCTGCTGTCAGTGTGAGCGCAACCCCTTTTGCACCAGCCAGCGCGCCAGCACAGGCTCCACGATCTCGGGCGCGGGCCGCCCGAGAAGCAAAGAAACCTGGGGCCCCAGGCTTGGGCCCACAGTGGTTGCGGGAGCACGGGAGAGGGGCAGAGGGAGAGCAAAAGAGGAAAGGGATAGGCGGGTTGAGGCGAGCCTGGAAATCTTCACAAAAGGCCTCTCGGGACCCGCTGCGACTTCAAGCGAAGCGCGCCGAGGTGTGTGGACGGAAGCCGGAACGACCTCCGGGGCTACCCTGCGGCTCCGGCTTCTTAATCTGAAACCCTCTTAGCTCTCCACGAGCTACCCGGGAACAACTGATAGGAAAGCACGAACAAACCTTTCCTACAGTTGGGCTGGCCACGAACCACCCCCACCTACAATGCCGAGACCTACATCGCCGCTGCCCGCATCGCCGTTCGCGTGTCTACGGCCCCTACAGGCGCGCCGCCCAGCAAAAAAAAACACGGTGCACATCTGCGGCAGCGGGGGTCCCTCCAAGAGGAGGGCGCGCGTCACCGCAGCGTGCGGCCGAACACCTCGTGCCAGACGGGCACTCCGTACAGGCCCTGTCGCGCGTGCGGGTGAGGAATCGCTCCGCCTCCTTCCCCGCCTCCTCTGGCTCCTCCTCCTCCTCCTCCTTCTCCTCCTCCTCTTCCTCCTCCTCCTCCTTCTCCTCCTCTTCCTCCTCCTCCTCCTTCAACTCCCTCCCTCCGATCCTCCCTCCTCCTGGAGCTCCAGACCCTCCAGCTCCTCCTCCTCCTCGCTTTCGAATGCGATTTGGGTCCAGGGCGGCGGGCAAATTTCCGATTATGGTCCCATCTGGCGCGCTCGATCTTTATGCTGCCGCCGCGACTCCAATGAGTCCTCCTCCTCCTCCTCCTCCTTCTCCTCCCTTTCCTTGTCCTCCTCCTCCTCCTCCTCCTCCTCCTCCTCCTCCTCCTCCTCCTCCTCCTCCAGGTGCACGCCCTGGCAGGACCCAGAGGACAAACCCTGACATTCTCGCGTCGTTCGCTTACAGACGTCCTTGAACGTTGCCGTCGGTTCGTCCAGGTTCTGTCGCCTCCAGGTGTCCTCCAGCAGCTGCACCTCGCCGAGATCGTTCTGGGGGTGCCTGGACCGTCCCGATCGGCCGCCAGGGGCCCGAGGTATGCCCTGGAAGCCAGACTTCCTTGCGTCGTGGGCTAAACCATGGCGGATTATTGTTCGGCGATGCTCGGTGGATAAGCTCAGGCGTACGCAAACACATCCCAGCAGCCCTCTGGGCGTAGGTGGTTTAGCGGGGCACTTCTTTCGAATTCCCTTCCTCCCCTTCGAGAAGGGGCTTACCACTGATCGTTATCACCATTGGCGAAACAAGTGCCCCGCAAACGGAGAAGCCCTTGCCCATGCTTTGAGAGCCCCGGGCGTTTATTATGACGATGCTTGCGCTCCTGCAGCGGCCGCGAAGGCAACATTGAAATGGGGCGGCTCGGGGGTGGCCCCGTCGAACCAACATTTTCGGTGGGGAATTTGTTACGCCATCAACGGATTCAACATGATGGCGATCGCCATGTCATTCGTTCCGCATGTGTTTGCTAACCTGGGTTGGCACGACAGCACAACGAGGCAACTAACGAGGCAACCAAACTGGTCCCCGACCAAACATCCCCGACTGGAGCCGGCTGGGCTCTTTCCTGCGGGCGGATTTCTCGCGCACGATGGCGTGGAAGACAGCTCCGTGTTCCGAAGGTGCCGACGCTTTCAGTGAGCGCCTCTCGCGCACCGCCGTGCTCATCCCGGCGCCCCTTCTCAGGGCCGCCGTCGCCAAGTTGAGGCTCGAAGCGGCCGAGGTCGTCTTGGAATATGGCGGGCGCACGAGGGACGACTGAGGGCCGGGGGGGAGGGGGCCTGCGGGGCCCGCGGGCGGCCGCAGAACGTGACGAGCATCCAAAGGTAGAGGCCTCCTAGATGGGGTCCGAGTCGATGGGGTCGGAGGATCGCGCCGCATCGCCGATACATCGGCGATGCATCGGCGATGTATTGGCGATGCATCGGCGATGCATCGTCGACGTCGGCGACGTATCGGCGACGTCGACGTGAAGCAAATCGGGCTCCACATCGAGCCGCATCGGCGATGCGGAGCGATCCTTCGACCCCATCTACTCGGACCCCGTCTAGGAGGCTTAGGCTAGAGCCTCTCATACCCTAGTCGAAGTTCTGAGGACCGCCGCGGGATTCCCCGTGCCTCGCTCGGCCGAGCGGGGTCGTCTTGGCCTGCTCGGGTCTCCATCGTGGCCCGGCCTGCGCGGGGGCCCTGGGCCTCTGCAGTCTCCTCCGGCCCGGGAGCCTCTGGCGCTTCCGCGCCTCCTTGGGCCTTCTGTGGGTGCTGTGTCCCTCGGGGCCTCTCTGGCTCCTGCTGGGCCAACCCCGTGGGCGCCGAGCTGGCCAGTTGTCTCTCGTGCCTCCCTCTCTCTCTCTCTCTCTCCCTTGCTTCCTCCCCCTCCTCCATCCCCCTTCCTTGTGAATAACTCCTCCCTGTCGCACGCCCAGGCATGTCGGCAGGGCGGGCCGGGCGTCCCGCCTCAGACTTCACCACCGTTTGTCATCCTGAAGCTTCGAGGATGGAGGGCGGCTGGTTTTCAATATGCGGTTCTCACTTCAGCGCCGCGCGCATTCTTCTCAGAAGTTTGCATCAGTTTCAAGAGTGGGCAACTCTCGCTTTAAGCGGCACGCGCATTCGTGTTAAATGTTTGCATCAAGCGTGAAGGACGGAAAACGGTTCCTGTTTTTTTGTTTCCAAAATGTGGCACTTGCCTCCGGGGCCGGTAACTTCGCCTCGATTCGCATGGTTGAAATCCTCGGATTTGTGTTCTGGCACGGTTTAAGATTATCAGGACGCGACAGTCAACGGCGTGTTGACGTCCCACGAGTGATGTTCTGGCACGGCGTAGGATTGACAGGACACAGCTGTCACGCAGATTCGCGGCATTCAAACTCCAGGGATGGTGTTATGGCCCTGTTGACGATTATCCGACGGTTTTCTTCGAATAGGGAGCTCCCCGGACGGTAAGCTGTAAGTGCACATCGACCTCTGAGCTGTAAATGCACGTTTGCGTTGAATTCCGCGTTAAATTTTTAACGTAGGATCTTTACGTTGGACCTTTGCGTTGGATCTTCACGTTGGATCTGACTCTAGACCTGTACGTCGGATTCTAAGTTGGACTCTTCTGTTCCGTTTCCACGTTGGATTTTTACGATGGCTTTCCAAGTCCACAATTTGATGTGAAGGTTTGCACTTTATATTGTTACGTTCTGTGTTTTTAATTGATTTTGTAATGTGAAATGTTCGACTCTGGGTTCTTACGTTGAACTTGCACGTCGGACTTCTGCTCGAGATTTCCCCACTGGGCTCTCGGACTAAATTGCTGCGTTGGAATAAGATTTGCGTTGGAGCTTTACGTTGGATCTTCGCGTTGAATTGTTACGATGGGTCTTTACGTTTGATCTTTACGTTGGATGTCTGCGTTTGATCTCCACGCTGGATCTTAACGTTCGATTATTACGCTGGATATTTACGCGTGTTTGTTTTGGTTGTTTTTTGTTTCCTGGTTTTTGTGCGTAGGACGTTGTACGTTTGATGTTTTACCTTGGGTCTTCACGTTTGATTTTTACGTTGGGTTTCCATGTCGGAGTTTCGCGCCGCCTTTAGGTTGTTTCTTCTTAGCGTCGCAATTGTTTATTTCAGTGTTCCATGGAGGTGTTGAACATAATTTGTTTGTTTCTTGCGCGCTGGATATTCTCGTGGAGTTTCGACCTTGGGTTCTCGCGTTGAACTTGCACCTTCGGTTTTTACGATAGATTTTCACATTGGGCTCTTGGGTTCAATGTCTGCGCGGGAATAATCTTGACGTTGAATCTCTCCGTTGGGTCTCTTCGTTCGGCCTGCGCGTTGGATCTTTGCGTTGGATATTTGCGTTGGATCGTCGCGTTGCATATCTGCGTTGGATCTATACGTTTGGTATTTGCGTTGGGTTGTCGCATTGGGCCTTTGCGTTGGATATTCACGTTGGATCTGTGCGTTGGGTCTCTACGATTGATTTATGCGCAGGGTCTTGACCTTGGATTTTTCACGCTGGGCTTTCGCTGGGTTTCTAGGCTGGCTTTCCACGTCGGGGCTTCGCGCCGCAACTTTTAAATAAACGTAGCGCGTCGAACTTCTACCCGGGATTTTACGTCGATGTTTTTAACAGAACATGCTGGTATGTCTGCATGTTTGGTGTTCCATTACATGCTTGGCCTCGGGCCCCCACGTTGAATTTACACGCTGGGTTTTACTTTGGGTGTTCACATTGGGTTCGCGGGTCACGTTCGGTCCTTACGTCTGTTGTTTATATATATATATATATAAAACGTTGGCTTTTTGCGCTGCACTTTTACAGCGTGGTCTTTACATTGGATGTTTGCACTTGGTCTCCGCGTCGAAATGTTGCGTCGGTTGTTGCATTGTTTAAACGAGTGTTTGCTCTGGTTTTCGCGTTGGAGTTTTCCATCGGGTTGCTTGGGTTTCTACGTTGCATGCGTGCGTTGGATTTGTACCTTGGGCTCTTACGTTGGGCTTCTGCGCTGGGGCCCCGCGTTGGATTTTCGAGCTGCGCTTTCGTGCTCGATCTTTGCGGGGGGGTCAAGCTAGGTTTTCACGTTGGGTCGCGTTGGGCCCTGATGTTCGGATTTCATGAGCGCGTGGCCTTGGGCCTATGCGCCCCATTTGCGCTTCTTGTTTGTTGCTGCTTTTTATTGCGTTGGGCCTGCGCGTTTGATTTTGACGTCGGACTTCGCGTTGGTCTTGCGCATTGGATCCACATTGGAGCGTCGGCGATTTCTTTTGGACATCCACATTAAACTTCGCTGGTGCATGTGGGTTCTTTACTCTGGATCTTCACGCTGGGTCGTGACCTTACATATTTGCGCTTGATCTTTCACGTTTGAAAATTACGTTGGGTGTTTTTGCCTGCTGTTGTTTATGTCTGATGTTTACGTTGGGTGTTTGCATTGGATCTCACGTGGAATGCGGACGTTTTCCCATGCCGAACCTTTTGCGTTGCATTCTCATGCTGGGTGGCTGCGTGGGGTCTTGGATTTGCACGTTGGAGCTGCGATGGAATTTGCACGTTGGATCTTTCCGTTGGATATGTGCGTTGGGTCTTTGCGTCGGGTCTTTGCGCTAGATCTTTGCGTTGGCTCTGCGCGAGAATGCTGCGGCGATTCGCACTGCAGCTTCGCGTTTGATCTTCGCGTGGGGTCCGAGGCTGTCGCGGTCAATGTGCCATGGAACTTTGACGTTGGATCTTTGCGTTGGATCGCTGCTAGTTGGATCTACACGTTGGATCATATGGGGATCTGGAAACGTTCAAAGGCCAAGGGTTTTTGAGTTGGATCTGCCCTGAGACTTTCACTATGGATCTTCATGTTGGATATTTGCATCGGGTTCTCATGGGATCTGGGATTTGTCGCGTTGGAATTCTACGTTGGATGTTTAAATTGAATATTTACGCGGGTCTGAGGTTTTTACGTTGGATCTGCCCTGAGA